TTGATTTATTGTAGAGATGAGGTCTCGCTGCCCAGGTGGGTCTCGAACCTGTGGGCTCAGGCAATCCACTCACCTCAGCCTCCCAAAGGTGCGGGATTACAGGCTGAGTCACCGAGCCCAGCCTATAAGAACTTTTAATTTAGAATAATAGCTGCTAGAAGGACAGAAAGGAGTCTTTATAATGCCTGGTAAATATCAAACTACACTATTATTACCACCCAATAATTTTTAATAACCTACTTGAAACATTGCTGAAAAGTACACTCTTCACAATACATACTACAATCTACTACAATCTAGCATGATAGCCATTTTTCCTAGTTTAGTTTCTGTCACAATTTATTTACCACTCCCTGTTTCAACTCCTTCACTGGCAACTAATTAGTTTTTCTTATAAAGAAAATCTTTACTTAATTCTGCTTAAATTTTTCTATTTGTCTTTGCACAGTTTACAATAATTTCTCAATTCTATACTGGGCCTGTAGGCTCAGGATATAAACAAATGTTAATAGTCCCTACCTTCCTACCCCTGAGAAAAACATAATTAGGTCAGTTAGATCCACTGGATAAAGTCCATGCAAACTGTTCAATTCTTTGTTTAGCCTGAATAAGTAAAGCTTGACCTCTATGTGAAAGTCCTCAAAACTTGGCTATGTACAGTGGAACCAGACACACCACCTACTGGGAAAAGCATTAAGTTGGAAAAATACCTCAGCAATAAGAAGTAATACATTAAGAAGTGGTATGAGCCGGGGTCAGTGGTTCAGCCTGTAATCCCGTGTCTTGGGAGGCTGAGATGAGTGGATTACCTGAGCCCACGGGTTCGAGACCCGCCTGGGCAACTTGGTGAGACCTCATCTCTACAATAAATCAAAAAATTAGCCAGGCGTGGTAGCGTACGCCTGTAGTTCCAGCTACTTGGAAGGCTGAGGCGGAAGGATCACCGGAACCCAACAGATCTATGCTGCGTTGGCTGGGAGTGGCCACTGCACTCCAGTCTGGGCGACAGAGTGAGACTCCAACTCAAAAAAAAAGAAAGTGGAGCTTTGAGGGGCAAAGGGGAGAGGCACGGTGGAAGGCAGACAGAGGGAGAGAGGCTCCCGTCTCCATTCCCAGCTCCGTCTTCCTCAGCTCCCCGCCCCCCACACGCATACGTCTCAGGCTTACGTCACCTCTGACAGTTCCAGGTCTGCAGTCTAATCAAGAGTTAACACTTCATACGTCAAAAAGCCTTTCCCCAACTCCTGCAGACTCCATACCAGCCTTTGTGGCTATCGAAATCCTGTAAATATGATCCTAGTGGACTTTTAGGGAATCAGAGGCATTACAATCAACAATGTCAACCCCAAAGCTCTCAGGCCTAGTCAGAATCCATCGTTCCTGTCTTGTAATTTTCCCTAAACAGTAGAGAATAGTAACTGTTTACACAGGAGTTCCACCATATCGGGCATTATGAGTAACCAGAGACGAGTGCAAGTACACAGGAGGATGTGCACAGGTTATGTGCACACACACCATCTTGTACCACACTGTGATATACGCCCCTGTGCATGCTGGTATCCTCAGGGGGTCCTGGAGCCAGTCCCAGAGACATGGGGGGGATGACTGCACTGCGAGGCAAGGTACATGCAGTGTGGAATGCTGGGTACTGTGCTGTAGCGGAAGAGCTGACTTCCTGTGCGTGAGCTCTGGACCTGTGTCTCACTGGCCATCACCTTTG